TTACCTTTGTTCTTATGGCGGCTGGCTGTAAGAGGTATCCACGTTGCCGGGCCTGACCTGTCATTTCCGCCCCGCAAGAGCACCATGGAGATTTGCGCCCATTCTTGTGCGTTGGTGTGCTTGCCTCCCTTTTCAACGGTGTGGCACTGGGAACACTTCATAATAAAAATCTTCTTGCCTTTCTCAACATCACCCATATTTAATTCTAAAAACGAAAGCCCCAACTTAGTAATTTTTCCTCAGGTAACAAATACAGTGTAAATGAATGACCACTCTAGCCACTTAATTACCAATCCATTGGTAATTTATGTCATTAAATACCAGAATTAATCTTGTATTGCTTTAATACTCTTTATACCAAATACTCTTTAATACCAAAAACATTTTTTAGGAGCACCTCCTCAAAAACCTATTTTCGTGTGTACACGTGAAGGAACGTTAAAGCCCAAGCAAGCAAAGAGGGAACCTAATTCAAACTCCAGTTTCAGAAGAGAAAATCATGGTCACTAAGTCACAGATCTGAAGCTGAAGGGCGATCACATTAAGCCAAAATCACCACAATTTCAATTTTTAAGAAGGCCTAGTCATTTAATCTTACTACCATGTAAAGCTACCTCTCCCTGAGGATATTGCAAAGCACACAAATGTTTAAAAAGCGGTACTGGCTGTTTCTACCTGCCCAGGTCCCAGGAGTAGCCTGACACTCGAACTTGTAAATGGGAACGCAGGGGCAGGCTGCACGGTCCCCCCAGGACATCCCCACTCTCCTACCTGTGATCCCCCGGGGCGAACATGAGGTCACCCATCCAGGTCGGTTTCAAGGTGACTGATGAAACTGTTTCTAGGATGTCAGAACGACTGACGAAAGAAACGTGCCCACGTAAAGAAATGGCCCCTTATTAGAAGAGCAAGAGCTTTTGCCCTCTGAAGGAGAACGTGAAGTGCTAAGCTTCGGCTTTCCGGGTGGGAAGTCTTGCCTATCATTTCCATAGCCCCTCAGCAACCACTACGAAAGGGGCCGCGTCTTCCTCGGATCTGTATCTAAGCCGCCTCTAGTCCCTGACTGAGACCATACCTGTCCCTAGTTAGGGCGGCCGCACCTCAAGCGGTTACTCGCCCGGTTCGGTCTGACCACAGTCCAGGGTCCTCACTCCCGGCCCTCCCACCCAGCGCGGGCTCCACTCGGAGGCTCCCGGCGTGGGTCTCGGTCGCTCGCGAGTGCGCGCCGCCCACAGCTCTGCCTCTAACCAGGTGCGGCTTCCACGACCCGCTCTCACCTCTTTTTAGTCGCTGGCGCAACGAAGATTCCCGCTCCAAAGCAGGACGTCCCCACTCTCTAAGTCCAAGGACACGCCGGTCCGCGCTTAAGTACCGGTGTAAGTGCAACCAAACTCGCTCCGCGCTCCCGCGCCCTGACGTGCGGCCGAGCTGGCGGCTACGCAGTAACGTCGCCGCACCTCATTGGCTCCAGTCCCAATGCCTGCGCAAAGGACCTGCGCGCGCATGCAGGCGAGCATGTTAGGGTGTGCGGCGTGCGTGCCCTTCTTCTTGAGGCCTTTCTTGCCCGGCCGTTACGACAGGCCTTTGGTCGTACGACAACGAGGTGGTGTCGGGAGGGGTGATGTCACCCGCGGGCCTCTGTGCGCTTGCGTGTGCTGGAGGAACGGGGAGGGTGGGGCGGAGTCGCCTTGTTGGCGCGTTGCCCTGCTAAAGTATCAGTTCTTGGGCGTGGTGATACAATGATCTTTGAGCAGGGCGTTCTGCCCGTCCAGGAAAAGACGCCCTAGTTTTGGCGCACCTAGAGGTCTCCTAGCTACCATCTTGTCAGCTGGCGACCTTTACCCAGACTCTGTCCTGCTCCCATGGCTGGCGCCAGCAGCATCCTAGAGGGACAGCCTGGAACCAGGAGTTACACGAGTTGGGCAGCAGCTCGTGACCTTGTTCTAGTTCCACCTCTACTCCGTTACTTTCAGTCATCTTCCAGCTCTCCGCTTGATGGACGCCCCAAGACTGAGGAACGTGCTGCATTTGCGGCAGAACAGGATTATCCCTCTGACCCCTTACCTGTCAGCGTCTTTTTTGCTAACGCCTTCCTCCCCCTCGCGTTCGTGTGCCGAAAGAACACAGAATGTGTGCTGGCAACATCTAGGAAGAAACATTTTTAGATGATTAGAGAATTATTGGAAATCTAGAGGATTTACATCCCTTCTTACCTAGGTAAAGGTCATGTTCAAGTAAACTTAATGCAGTTAAGATCATATTGGAAGTAAAGGCGTTAATACCCAGCTTTTAGTTATCATAGCCATCCTTTAAAACTAGATCCCCTTCCTGACATGCCTAGTTCTGTCACTGGTTTTCTTGACTCCTTTATCCCTCAAATTCTGGTCCCAAGTTCTGATTAATTTTTCCATCTTTCTTGTTTTTTTTTTTTTTTTTCTTCTCTCTCCTTGTATTCTGTCTGGCACTGCCGTATTAAGTCAAGTGTTTATTGGCCGGGCGAGGTGGTTCACGCCTGTAATCCCAGCACTTTGGGAGGCCGAGGCGGGTGTATCACTGAGGTCAGGGGTTCGAGACCCGCCTGACCAACATGACGAAACCCCGTGTCTACTAAAAATACAAAAATTAGCCGTGCGTGGTGGCGCGCGCCTATAATCCCAGCTACTCAGGAGGCTGAGACAGGAGAATCGCTTGAACCTGGGAGGCAGAGGCTGCAGTGAGCCGAAATCGTGCCACTGCACTCCAGCCTGGGCGACAGAGTGAGACTCTCTCTCAAAAAAAAAAAAAAAAAAAAAAAAAAGTGTTTATCGAATGCATGTTATATGCCAGGTATTTTTCTAGGTACCTGGAGTATTATAAATCAGTGAGGACTCTTTCTGGTGGAGCTTACATTCTGGGATCCTTTTTCCCATCCTGCAACTTAAGTGATAGATACAAGGAGGTTGACATAGATTATCTTAGATCACTTCCTAACCACTGGCCGTATTATTTCTACTCCGATCCTCCATCTCCCTATATGACGAGTATTTTTTTGTTTCTGAACTGTCCTGACTTCCAGTTCCCCTCTAATTTCACACACTACAGCCACAGTCTTCCTATAAAACAGAGCAGAAATCACCACACTTATTCAAGACCTTTTGTGCTTTTTGGAGGGGACAAAGATAGTCAGCATTTGGATGTAACTTCTTAAGTAGGCTTATTTGGCAAACTATTGAAATTTTTAAAAGACCAAGCTTAGCAACACCTTGAAAATTCAGCACATCCTCATGAAGCCAGGTCCTGATATTGCCACTCATACCCTTCTAAGGACCATGTAGTCCTTAAATAGGTAACTGTTCTATCATCAGAAGTAACTACTCTCTGTTCATACTGGTGAGGTTTCATGTGCTGATACTGCAGATCATACAGATGTACGAATAAGTCAGCCAAATGAATGGATTGAAGCCATTTTAAATTTATTCTCATGACAGGAAGAATAGAAAACAGGAAGCGTTTGGTTTTTTTTTGTTTGTTTGTTTGTTTGTTTTGAGATGGAGTCTCGTTCTGTCCTTGCCCAGGCTGGAGTGCAGTGGTGTGATCTCAGCTCACTGCAACCTCTGCTTCCCAGGTTCACGTGATTCTCCTGCCTCAGCCTTCTGAGTAGCTGGGATTACAGGCGCACACCACCACGCCCGGCTAATTTTTGTATTTTTAAGTAGAGATGGGGTTTCACTATGTTGGCCAGACTGGTCTTGAACTCCTGGACCGTCATGATCCACCTGCCTCAGCCTCCAAAGAGCTGGGTTAAGGTGTGAACCACTGCCGCCTGGCCAGTTTTTTTTTTTTTTTTTTTTAACTAAGGAAATTGTGGATAAAGAGTTGCTATTGAAAGTAATGGGAAGATGAAGAGACAGAAAGAACAACCACAAAAATGAACAGTTAGCATCTTCCTGTAGTAAAGCAGATACCATAAATTTTGTGTTATATATGTATTCAAGAGATTCATGGTACTTACAATTTACTTGCGGTACCTAAGAGAATTAGTTGAAGAGAACAATAACATTCTGCAAGCCGCTTTGTTTCATATTCATTTCTGTTATATCTACTCCCCCACCTCCATCTTTTTAAAAATTATTTATTTTTTTATTTTTGAGACAGAGTCTTGCTCTGTCACCCAGGCTGGAGTCCAGTGGCACAATCTTGGCTCACGGCAACCTTCACCTCCTGGATTCAAGCAATTCTCCTGCCTCAGCCTCCTGAGTAGCTGGGATTACAGGCACGTCTGCCACCATGTAAGATGTGTCTATTCCCTCTGCCATGAATTATAAGTTTCC